AGTGACCCTGCAGAGCCCACCATAGATGCTGCACAGCCCATCTGAGACTGTCTATGGTGGGCTCTGAAGGGGTCTCAGGTGGGCTGGTCAGGGCTGCATCCCTCCCCTCCCTCCTTCCTTCCTAGCTCCTCTTACCTGCACACGTGGCCCCGTCTGCCACCGGACGTGACGTCACTTCCGGCCAGTCCGACATCGGATGAGCAGCGTCGCTGATGGGGCCCCAGCTTGTCTCGAAGCCGCCCGAGCGGCAATGCTGGGGCCAGGCCTCCACCTCCTCGTCGGCCGATAGTCATGTAAGGGACCCGGGAGGGCCCCACAGGCCCCTTACATGAGTATCGACCGTACCCCCCCTGATGGCTGCCCTGCCGATATGTCACCTATAACCTGTACATGTGGCAGACGGGTGATGGGGGAAGGGTGAGGTGAGGGGTGATGATTGAGGTGATGAGTGATGATGGAGGTGACGGGTGATGATGGAGGTGACGGGGGAAGGGTGAGGTGACGGGTGATGATGGAGGTGACGGGTGATGATGGAGGTGACGGGGGAAGGGTGAGGTGAGGGGTGATGATGGAGGTGACGGGTGATGATGGAGGTGACGGGGGAAGGGTGAGGTGATTTGGGGACATCCTGGTGGGTATACTCCAGGGGTAGCCAAACTCCGGCCCTCCGGCTGTGTGGGGTGAAACTACAAATCCCATGATGCATCTCTCTCCGGGAGTCACGCCTGTGGCTGTGAGAATCTTGCAATGCCTCGTGGGATTTGTAGTTCCACTCCACAGCTGGAGGGGCGGAGTTTGGCTACCCCGGTATACACGGTATTGGCAGGGAAGGGCGGCGGGGCCTCTCTATTGGGCGGCTCTCCTCGTGTCCGCAATGTGTAGCAGGGTGTGTGATGAGGGAGAATTTCCTGTTTGGTTGGTAGCACACGGCCCGGGGGCGTAAGAGACGGGAACCGGCCTCTTGTATGTGACATTTATCATGTCTGACACATGTGGGGGAAATGTCACTGAGGAGGAAAGTCCCCACCAATGGCAGCCGGGCCCTTTCCCAGGCCGGGCCCTTCATGGCCACAATGGGGCAATTTATCATTAGGTGATAAAGGTGAT